AAACCAGACAACATTCAAATGATTAGATGCTAAACTAACATTCGAAATTCATTTCCTTTCCTTTTCCTTTTTAGTTAGTAGTAATAACACTTTCCTTATGTTTCAGCCTGGTAGGTCATTAAATTCAGAAACAGCAAATGTTAATCCATGGTAGGACATCTGAGGAGCTGTCAGCCTGCACTGTGCAGAGAATGTGGATATGAAGTCCCCTATGACCAAAGGGAAAAGGGCTGTCTTTGACTGGGTAGACACAGAAAGACAGCAAAGAATCTGTGGTGAAAGATGATTTAAGATTTTATTGTTAACGTAGAGATCGTGATCCTCTGAACAGTCTATCCCTGAACAAACGCAACCATTTCACAAGTCATTGAAAATAGAAGCATTAAGAGACTGACCGCACACTAAAAGGCAACAAGCATTTGCACAAGTCAAAGAGAGTCATGACAGCATTCAGCCAGACACAGACACACAATCACAGTTTGCCAGGTGCAGATCTTAGTGTCAAAAAGAAAGTCAGCAGGGGAAATAAAAACAGACTAGCCGGTTGAAATAACTGAACTAAAATGCGATTAGTTTCTCTGCAGTGCGAAGATAAATATAAAACTGTGTTCCCAAAATGCAAGCAGTGCTAGTATAACTTTGTCAAATAAAAAAAAATTAAAAGAAATTCATGAGAGCCCTTCTCATGCATAAGTTAGCAGAACTGTCAGTGGGACTCAGCGGATGTATGTTTATGTCATTCTCGAGAAAGTGGAATGAAAACCTCAAAAATGTTCAAGTAAACGTGAGGGAGTGAATAAACAAAAGCTTTGTTGTATCGTCAGACATTGGAGGAACAGGTTTGCCTGTAGGTAATGTAGATCGATGAGGTGGTCTTTGACAAGCAGATGGATGTAGTCAGTGTGATAGACGCCGCTCATGCGCTGCCATTGTTTAGTTCAGGGGTTTACCAGTTTCCACCGCTTCTTTTCCAACCCACAATTATCATTGACTTGCCTTTCATATTTTTCACAGGCTTAACCGTGTCTTTTATTTTGCTTTCTTTTCATTAATTGATTTGGAACTATAGATTGTAACCATTCATTTATCTGAAAATATTCAGATACTAAATCAAGTGAGCCAACCAGAGCAGCGTTCTACATCAAACACGGACCTGTTTTGCTATTGGGGATCTTTAACCTTTCCTGACATCTGAGAAAAATGTTAATTCTTTATTGTGTCTGGTGAAAGAATGAAAGATTTCAGAGTGCTATTGTTTCCACAAAAAAACAACAACAACTGTACCTTTTCCAAAGCGAAAGCAAGGGAACAAATACGCTTAAAACATGGAAACTGCCCAAGTTGACCCTCAAGTTGAAATTGTATGAAGTTTCATACCCGTTTCTCAAGGGAAATTAGGAATGAATGGCAAGAGAAAATAGGAATGGAAAGAGTGATGGGAAAGCTGTGGGAACAAGAGACGGAGAAGGGCAAAAGAGGACAGAGCGACAGAGGAGAGGGAAAGAAACTGACACGGATGAGAGCTATTGGAAGACGCATGAGAGGATATGAGCAGTCAGGCAGGTTGGCATGCGGCGTGATTACACGAGATGTGGAGGGCACGAGAGCCCGGAAGGACGGACGATGAGACCGGAGACTTTTTCAGCTTTCCAAAGATGTGAGGGCGAAAAAGAAAGATGAAAAAGACAGAACGCGGCAACGGCGCTTCATGAAGAGCTGGAAACAGAGGGCGGACGGGCGGGCACACGGGTGGGCGAGAGTGCGAGCCAGCGGGGAAGGGAGGGAGGGGGGGGGGGGGGGGGGGGGGGCTTGTGAGCAGCCACAGCCAGTTAGAAGCTGGCGTGGTGCTCTGCAGGGTGAATCTTACCCTGGCAACACAATGGAGGGGGAGGTGGGGTGGGGGGGAATGGTGGACAGGTGAACAGATGGCTGAGTGACGGAGGGACAAGCTGATCAGTGCACTACAGAGTGTGTGTGAGAGACGGCAAGGACACGCACACACACTGTAGCACAACACAAAAAGAATGTGCGCTGCCAGAGCGGGTGGGCAGAAAAACACAGAAACTGAGAGAGGGAAAGTTGCCCATGTTTTAACTGTGCTGTTCACAGAATATTACTGGAGTTTACATGAGAGAGAAAGAAAAAACAAAGAGACATAAGACTGTCACGTGGGTGAAAAGTAAAAGTGTAGACTGTGTGAGAGGGAAACATATTGTGCCACTGCTCCGAGTGGGATTTTCTTTAGTTTAAAATTCATGTGTTGTTCGCATAGTAGATTCTTAAAAAGTAGCTCTGATATAACAGTTTATTGAAGCATGAATCATTTACATTCTTTCAGTATTCTAGTGTTTAACACGTAGTTTTGCTGTAGCATTACCTGGTTGGAATCATAGTGTTTTTCTTGTCATAGAACATGTGATCTTAAGTGAGCTGTTTCATGTCTATGACACATGCCCCAAAAGTAACTGTTCTTGTTCTAGTCTGTTCTAGTAACGGTTCTAGGCTAGCCTGTTGAGTTTCTTTTCACTTCTTGCTCTTTTACTGTGGTCAAAGTGATCATTATTATCAGAAGTAATGACCAGAAAAAAGAAAGTAAATCCATGTTTGTCTGAATATGTGTTATGATAAAGACTCTTACAGTCTTATTGTCGGATATAAGCATGCATCTCTTTCACAGCCTTTGTTAATTCTAGACCAGGATTCTAAGCGTAAAGGTCCCGCGTCAGCACGGCTCCCGTGTCATCCCAGTTTTGTTAGCACGCTCTGGGTTTCTTTTTATCCTGACAGCCGGGGCAGGAGGTCCACGCCTCGATCAGGTTTTCCACCCAGCCCTCTGTCACATGCCATCTTTGTCCTGTATTTATTTTTATTTGCCCAACGGATCTTTTTGTTCCCCCAATTTTTAGGTCAGAGCACACACTTCTCCGCACGCGCACGGTCTCCGCAAACCGTGGACAACAAAGCGTGTGGTGGCAGCTCCTGCACATTAAATTTGCATTAAGCTGCAGATCAGAGCACCGACTTGTTCTGCCGAGAGTGAACCGCTGAATCAGGAGACTGTCTCTGTGTTGGAGCAAATCTTCCTAATAACGTGTTTCTGCGGGTGGATAAAACACAGCTTTGACACAGCCATGATAATAATGGCTTTGAGTTTTAATGAGCCCCGTATCAAAGAGCACCATTGTTATTAACACGGAAAGTCTCTTTACCCTTACATCCAAATGGCATCATTACCCTCCTGCCCTCACCTGTTTTCAGGATTCCAGGCTAATTCATCAAAAACGAAACGAGTCGTCGGCCTCCTCGGGGTTTAATCTGCGGCTCAGGCAGGTACGCGTTGCTGCCAGCTTTTTCTTGCGAGGCAGAGTTGCCCGCAGTTGAGTCATTCAAACTCAGCGGTGATTGTGCGCAGCGGGAGCCGCGGAACATGTGTTCATGTTTTAATCAAACTGCCACTCGGCTGCAGTCACACCTGGCACAGCAGGTGCCCATTGATTAAGGAAAATATAGGGTGTGAGGAATATCGAATATGATCTCGAGATGGCCTGTTCTACTGATAATCTATCAGACGAGCCGCTTCAAAAGCCCCAGTGTTTTGAATTTTGGCCGTATGATGAGATTAGAAACGGTGCAGCTCTTTAACTGCGAACCGTAAGACATGAATGCAGCCACACCTCCATTTCCTTCTTTTATCTTTTTGACTTCCATTCTCAGTGTTTGTAATTGACTCCTTTTTTTTTTCGTCAAAAATGCCCTCAAAACCCAGACACAGCCCACGGAGCACCGAACGCCAGACAAAGCTCGCAGCGATCTGCTGAATAAGGAGCAACAACAGGCAGCTGAAACCGATTCAGTTGGATGGGCTCGACGGTTTAAAGATGGTGAAGATCAGATGGGGGAAATCTTTAAAGTAGCTGGCCTTTTCTTTTTTTTTTCCCCCCTCTGTTTCAGATGGAAATCACTTGATGGGATTATTATTTTTGTGTTTGTGTGCCTCTGGCAGCACCCTGGGCTGAAGCTCATGCGTGGGCCACAGAGGGCTCTCCGGTTCCAGCATGACATCCAGTTTCTCTGCGAGGATATATCTTCTTGGCTCCGTGGTCAAGGGCCCACCAGGCAAAGCTACTTAACAGCAAATCTTGTTTAGCAGAATCCTCTCAAAATAAGAGTCTCCATCCGTCTCCATCCTCCCTCCCGACCCGGCGTCCCCCTTTCTATTCTCGCCATTTTCAATGTGTCTCAACACCATCACAACCTGGCCGCCTTTAGACGTGTCGCTGACACCGCCGCGTGCTCGCTCGGTCACCCTTTACCCTCCAGTTTTGCGTAGCTCTTTTCCTCAGCGCAAAGCTTCACACTTCTTAGCAGGACTGTTGATTAGGGGATGCGTGCGGAGGTGTGATGCCTCACCGTGGCTCCCGACACGCGGCTCAGGTTTAAAAAGACTTCATAGCCTTTTGCCACGGATTCTAACCCTAACCCGATTCTGTCTGCTTCGTAAAAAAAAAATGGGGGGGGATTGTTTGTTGTCTCGAGCCGCATCCTTCACAGCTTTCTCAGTTTGGAGTCGCTATCTGTCGTTCCTCCACCTTTTCAAAACCGAGACCTCCACCGAGGTCTGATGAGGAAGCACGGACTCACTGGTAATAACTTGCTTTCATGTGGGCAGCGGATGTTACGAACGCTGACCTGAGGAATCGATTGAGGATTACCAGAGGCCTCTTTTCCGCTCGTAGGAGATGCCTCCATAAGAAGAAATAAGATGCTATGTTTTATGCCATCAACCGGGTCAAACTGTGCATCTGACCTCGACCAGTGAACGGTGTAGGAGTCCGCTCACAAGCAGTAGTCCAACATGTCCATCCGGTTGTGTTTGAGAAACGAAAAGGTTTCCGTCTCCCGGGTCTGAAAATTGTTGGAACATGAAAACGTGTGCATGAAAAATGAAATGTATAAATGCCTCCTCCCTCTCCTCCTCTACTCCTCTCTGATCACCTCAGACGTTGCGAAAGAAAGGCTTTAACGGCTGCAACAGCCCCGAGCCCGACGGGGACGACTCCATCGACCAAAGTCCGCAAAACGACCGCAAGACCGAAGACCTGGACAGCCTCTTCAAACGCTACGGCGTGAGTACCATCACACTTTTACCACTTTATCTAACCGGCTCTTTCTGTTCTTCCTCTTCTCTTTCTCTGCCTACCTTCCTCTCTCTCTCTCTCTCTCTCTCTCTCTATCTCTCTCTCTATCTATCTCTCTGTCTGTGTGCCCTCTTTTTCCTTTGTTTGGGGAACGAAGGCTCTGAACAAGAAAGAGCACCGGGACTCTGAGAGCCCAGACCCCGAGGAGCCCTTCTCCCTCACCCCCCGCACTGAAGAGAAATACAAAAAAATTGACGAGGAGTTTGATAAAATGATGCAGAACTATAGGCTGTCAGTGAGTACCTCCCACCACCTCTGTGTAACCCTGCCCCCCCCCCCCCCCCCCCCTCGTGTTGGCACCTTGCTGCTGCTGCTGACCGGACGAGGTTTCCAGCTGCTGATGGCGGTCTGATTACTCACAGAGCACTCGCCCTCACCATCCCCTCACCCTCTCACCCTTTTCACCTCACTTCACCCCCTCACCAACAGCACCTATCAGAATCACCTCCCGAAAACGCCAGACAGAGCAGCTAAGTCGACAGCAGCGTCGTTAAACCGCACGCGCAGCTATTAACTCATGAATATTTGATTCTTTTTTTTTTTTCCACAAGCCGGGTCCAAAGTTGTTTGTTTAACCCGCTTCCACTGAAAACAAAAGAGACCCAAGCAGTTTGCTTTACCTTGATTGTCATGTGGACGGAAAATGGTGGAGGAGGAAAAAAAAAACGTCTCACACAGGCCGGCTCTCTCTCGGATGAATGAAATATGAATTCCTGGCGGTGCTACAGATGTGTAAATTCGACACTAAGCCAAAGAAGTAATAAAACAAGCGGCGTAACACCAAACATGGCTTTCTTTAATCAAATGATTTATCTGAAGTTGCTGTTACCACAGTGAGAGCATCCCCAGGAGTGTTATTGCTATAATAAACTGTTCCTGATGCTTCTGCAAGTTCACTAAACTACAAGAAAATACAACAGAGGGATAGGAGTGTTAACTAGGTCCCTAGTTTTCATAAAAAAGTTGGCATAGCAACCGGCGTTGCAGGGGGAAATCATGTTTTATGGTAATAATCAACACTTTGGGAGAATGCCTTTGAGCTGTCGGATTGCTTGGCTGCAAACACCGACTGTGTAAGACTTAGCAATATTAAAGAAAGAAACCCGGCACTTGCCGGCGCGCAGCGGGCACCAGGGCTTAGAACGCAGTTATTAATTGCGCGATATTAACAGCAGAGCCGAGGTCAGTTTAGTCTCGGCGCAGTCCCCGCTGGATGTGCTCCTGACATTATCCGAGTTCTGCCTCCTGACTGGCGCTCTGCCAGACCCCTTTTACCACTCTGCTCCTTTGCCAATTTCTCAGTGATTCATTTTTTTTCCCCTCTGTGCTCGGTAATGGCATTAATGTCACTTTAATGAGTAGCACTTAATTTACAGCCCCTCTCCCGGTCTGCCCGCCTGTCTGATTGGTCACTTGGGATGAGATGCGGTCACATTTAGGTGCTGCAGATTACACCTCTGAAGTAATACCTTGATGGTAAATACTATTTCCCCCCCTCTACTATTTAATTACATTTCTCATAATATTCTGTGGTGCCAAAGAGGCAGGCAGGTGTGTTAACCCAAACCCAAGTCTGACCGTTTTCTGACCACCCCTTTGTCTCTGAGGCAGCGCTTTGCAGAACACTCCGAACTGCCTCCTTTATGAAAAGGAACACGACTGTATAATTCATTTCTGGTTTTGGGGTTGTCCTATAAAAGTAAGAACAGTCTATTGTCAGAGTATTCCGGCAGAGCAGACCCGAGAGAGAAAACAATTTCTCAAGATAATCACTTCAACGAATTTCTCTCCTTGTTAGTCTGACCCAGGCTTTCCACGCTGCGTGAGCAGAAACGGCTATTAAGAGCTTTTTTTTTCTCAGAAGAGAAAGTCGAGAAAGAGGAAGAATAGAATTCAATCTACCATCCCTAGAGACATGCAGCTCGATGGGACTCTATCTTAAAGCCGTTGGCGAGCAGCAATGTCCCCGCCAGGCCGCCGCCCTGCCCGGTTACGAGCGGCGCACCTTTGACTGGCATTGAGAAAGCGACGCACACTGTACCACCCACCACTCCACCCCTCTTCATCATAATCCCCTGCATGACAGCTAGGGGCTGAGATATACAAGCCTAATCCCACTTGTACTGAACTGCCTCCCGAGGCGGGGAGAGACTGGTGAGGCGGAACGGGCAGGACAATTGGCTCAAAGAGCCCCGAGCTCACCGCTCTGTTCCTGGTGCTGTGGTACCGGGGTAGGCCAGGGAAAAGGCAGCATCTCTTCTTTTAACAGGCAGGTGTCTGGTTTGATCCCTTTCGGGCTCTGAGATTCAAGGTTTAGTAAGCGCTGAAGGAAAAGTCTTCGTCCTTTTAAAAAGCATCTCCGAAGGGCCTTTGAGCAAGAAGGTGACTGTTTCATCTCCAGTCAGTTTGAAAGTCAAGTAAAAGACAGTATTACTACTGTGCAGTCAATCATATGGAATTTAGTTTTCAGATCATTTAATTAAACCTTTAATCAGATTTTTTCATAGCGCTCTGAGACGTTGGTAAATCTTTAGCACAATTTTGATAGATTAAGCTCTCTGTAAATCGAGTTCACAATAGTTATTTTTACAGACTTTAATTATTTGGAGTCATATTTATTGAGATAATAGAGAAGTTAAAGTGAAATCACCACTCATTTGTTGGCCCAGTGTTATCTAAAGATAACGCCGACATTTTTCTGATGTTGCTCAGATTTTACAGAGAGGATGCAAAAATGCAAAAGGTGAAAAGAAAATAGAATAAAAGGCTTTCAGGACAAGAGCGAGGCAGGGGGAAAGTAGGCCAGGAGTTTAATACCGTCTGATTTCCCCTCACATCCAGGAAAGTTTCTTATTGAGAGAGCTACTGTTATGGGAAAAAGCTTAAATATCTTAGTCGTTATTTGATATTTAGCTTCCTGAGCCTTTAGAAAAGCTGAATTTGTCCTGTTGAAATCGAAATAGAGAAAAATTGATGAACAGCGAAAACACAACTAACCTGAAGGTTTCTGTAATGCACATTTGCTACAAGTAGGCCTTAGAAACACATTGTAGTAAATGTAAGCATTAAAAAGTCAGAGTCACCCTCAAGAGAAATCTAGAAGACTAACATTCAATTAGATTTTTCACTAGCAATGCTACTTATTATTGATTTTCAACGATAAGGAGTTTACTGTATTTGTCTGAATGGTTAAATTGTGGCATATCTGCTTTTATTTTTTCTCCTATTATCAGCTGTCAAATTGAAATTTCAAATCTAAATCCTTTTAATTAAATATTTAAACTCAGCATATGCCACTGCAGTCAGTTGTATATATGCAGGTTTATGCTAACTTGTAGGTTTCTTTTGTCTAACTTCTGAATAAGATTTGTTTTTTTTAAAGGATTGACAGTCTGAAATTAAAAACCGATAAACTGTCCTTGACAGCTCAGACACCCCCTCATCAACCTGTTCTTAGAATGGAAAATCCTTTCCAGTCCTGCCCCCTGTGTTGACTCATTTCCACTCCTTTTGCATTAACTCCACCCCCCAAGCACCCACCCCATTTCTCCATCACCCCCCCCCTTTCCTTCAGCTTGACCAGCGTGCAGTGGTGCAGTGCTGTTTGCTGCTGCCTTCACAATCCCAGGCCACCACTTAAAGCTCCAGCTGCACACCACCTTTTATCAGACTTCTGTTCTCACTGTCTAATGGGCAGAATTTCAAAGGCTCCAACGATTAGTGGCCATGTTGATGTTTGTTATTAGCATACCACGCAGGGAGGATGGCGCTTTAATACACAGGACACAGGTTTCACTGGTTTTAATGGCAAGAACAATCATTTGGGATTTGGGGAGAAACATAAATAGCGTTCACACTTTTTTGATACTTGTGAAAGCAAACTCATAAATTGGAGAAATTATGTAATTTTAATACTTTTTTCCCCTTTAATCTCAGTCAGGTGTTGTTTTTCTATTCATATAACTTTTTAGATAAAAGAATTTAGATTAAAAAAATCAGGAAAGATGGACCCTTGCAGCAAAATTTTACCAAAGACAAATAAATCAGGAGTCACTTTGGTCCCAGATGTTTTTTTTTATCTTCTCCTTTCTTCCCCCTTCTTATAACCCTGAAACCAAAGAGATTTTTCTAAACAACCTTCTCTAAACAGAATTGAGGTGGAAATGAAGGGCAGAATGGTGCTCTTGTACTTCTCAGCATTAAAGTGGGTCCCAGGCAGTACAGAGCAGCGCTGGCCCATATTCCATATATAGAAGTCCTTATTTCAGAGTGACTTGGAACAGGGTGAAATGGGCTGAATGGCTGGACAACCTTAGCCTTGATTTGTTTTTTTCGCACCCTCTGCTCTGTGGTCACTTAGTTACTTCAACTGATGTGGCAAAAATCAGTCGTTACAAAAGCACAAAGGTGAGAGTTCAGATGCTTTCGATAATTCAGGTGATTTAGATAGCAGAAAGAAACTTTGGGACCCTATTGGTTTCTGCAAGCTCCGGCAGGGTAGCTGCAAAACTTGCCAGCGAGTTGAGCTCATTCAGACGGGGGTGGGGGGATGTTGCTGCAATGTGACACGCACGGAATGAAATGTCACCAATAACTCGATGCAATAACCGGCTGCTGCCATAAGAGTTTAACCCGGCATGAAAGGCGACACAGCTTTTTGGCCTTTCCACCAAGTCACCTTGCATGCTGAAACTGAGCGAGTGAGCGTGTTCGGAGAACCCTTTGAGAAGTGCGTATGGCCGTTGGAAGAGTTCAATTCCAAAATGTTTAGGAAAGAACACTTTAGCTTCTTTAAATCCCAGTCAATCAAAGTAGCCGCAGCCATTTATTTTGTTTTTATTGAGCCCATAAAACGCTTTCAGTGACATATATTTATCCATATTATAATAAGACAGAAATAACCAGACAGTTTTCATGTTTTTCTGTTACACTAATTTTCTATAACATAAAGCTGAACTTCTTAAAGACATAACTTTCTAAATGTTTGCCCGGTTTTGGAAAAACTCTTCTTTTTGTTGCTGGGTGAGTTGTTGAGTGTGTGTGCGTCACTTTCGGGCTTGCTGGCACAGCTGCTGGTCACTAACTGATCACACGTCCAGTATTTTATCTACATACCGATAAATGTGCGTGCATGCGATGGGAGGTTAACGTTGTCACACACTAAGCGCCCCCCCCCCCCTCTTCCTCTCTCTCCACCAGTCCACAGTCCAACAGCCCACTTTTTCTATGCCAGTCACCGTGCCAGTATCCAATCAGAACGCAGCCACCGCCGCAGCCCTCCAGTTCAGTAACAACCCAGCCGGGGCCCTGGTCACCACCACCTCCTTCGTTACCTCCACCCTCACAGATCCCCGCCTCCTGTCGCCACAGCAACCAGCTCTGCAGAGGAACACCGTGTCACCGGGGTTGCCACAGCGACCGGCCAGCGCAGGTAAGAGACCATGTGCGCCGCAGCTGGAATGCTTTGGTTTTTCTGGACGCATTCACTGCACCTTCAGTCCCGCGAGTCAATAACATGAGTCATTTTCAGATTCTTTTTCAATACTCGCAGGCGATTGATTTGGCCAACATGCTGGGGCTTTGTTATCGGCAGTACAAGCGGTTTCTTCCTGTCAGTGAAAGAGCCTGTGGTCCACAGCGGCTGATGAGTTTTGGACTTTTGAAAACAGCAGCTTAAGATTCCCTGACTGACAAGCTCTCCAAAATTCCTTAGAAAACAATTAATGGAAAAGAACTTATGAACCCTTAATTGTTGGTTCGACAAGCAATATCAACTTTTCACAAAAAAAAAAAGTGTTTATAAGTTTTCAGATTTTTTTATACAGATTAGTTTCTTAAAAAAAACATACATTCAAGTATTTGTGATCACTTATATACACACAGTATCTCTCTTTCTCTCTCTATCTCCCTCTCTCCATATATATGTATATAGATAGATATATATATATACACACACACACACACAAGCCATTGTAGTCATTTCTCTAAATGGTCCCTTCTAACGTTTTCTTCCAAACCAATCAGTTTAATGACTGGTCTTTGACACATGTCAAAGACTTGATTCCTAAATGACTCTTGTAATTGAAATGATCTGAGGCACCTTTACAGAGATTGGTTGTCATGGTTATGCAGTTACTCAAAGTCCTTTTTCATAAAGTGCACCCACTGTGGAAGTACAGCTGGTGTAACAGCAGGCTTTTTTTTTTTTTCTTTTAGAATTTTCTGAGTCAACAAGCAGTAAAATGACCAAAGAACAAGTCTGTTTCTGTGTATCGATGTTCTGTCCGGCCTGCATGCTCGGTCAGTCTGGGTATCTCCCTCTGACCTAAATAAGTGCATACTGATCATATTGACAAGAATCCATCATTTCTCTGACTGAGGCGGGTTCACTCTTGCATGCACTCACTGCCTCTCTGTAGCAAACCAATCCTTCACCCTCTGACTAAAAGGATTTGTGCCCCATTTTTGCGTCAAGCTTTGTTCCGACCAGCATAATCTCATTGTAAGTCAGAATTAGGTGATGTAACGTGCAACAAATGCATTACAGCATCTTTCATAACAAGCCTTTCTCTGAGACAAGTGAGTTTCACATATCAGTAATGGATCACCCCCCCCCCCATGCTCCTTAAAACCTCTGGCGTGCAAATACTCTGCTGTGCCCGGTTATTCATCCCTCATTATCAGAGATCTACTGGGTTCAAAGCTTTTGCTTATTGGAAATTTGTTATGCGACCGTCTGCCAAAATGTTGTCAGTCACCTTCAGTCATCCAGAATTTTCGCCTTTCTGAAGTCTGGTTTCCTCATAAAAATGGGAAAGTCAAGCAAATCCTGAGCATTATATCTCCTAGGATGGTGATAGAAATAAATGGTCACTGTGCTGTGTTACAGTATGGGAAACAGCCCTTTCAGGCTATAAATGCATTTTAGAGCATTACTATTTCCTAGTTTGCTTCCTCGTTGACAGGGAAAGCAGAACATATTTTAAAGATCTTGAAAAGCTCACATGAGAAATGATGTTTTTAGACTGATGCCTGTTTAAACATCTGGATGATGACAATCCAGCAGAATCCTGCTAGTTCATCTTCAGTAAATTTTCCCTGGCAAATGAAGATGTCCACTGGAGTAATCGTTCAGACATCTTTTAAACCTGGGAAAGCAAGGACAAAACGTCATGGACTGGAACGCCATCCAGAACATATCCTGCCTCCAACACGACGCCAACTGGGACAGACTCGTCTCTCTATGACACTGAACAGAATGAAGAGGTTACTGAAGATAGATGTCTTCTAAGATTTGGGACAGCTAATTAGGTGCCGGAAGCGTTCTTTCATGACAGGAAGATTGGCCATGTGGTTCCCTACAAGGGAAATGATGCGCGAATAAGATCCTAAAGTCCACTTCTGGCTATGCAAAATTTCCACTGAATTTATCATCTAATAATATACAGTAGTGTCATCTGTACTCAGAAACATTGTTTTATTAATGCTCGATTGCCCACTAGCTGAGCAACAGCATCCAGTTAAATTTGTATAATGACACTGGGCTGCTGTTATGAATGTTCAGTCATAATTATTGTCATGATGATCATGATGGGTTGTGTATTGGAGGGGGTCGTTTTTTTTCTCCCAACAGAGTTCTTGTTAACCTTCTTCTGAGTTTTTTTCCTAATAGGATTTATCTGTATCTAATTCAATTGTAAGACCATTTTCCTGATTTTCAGTACATAATCCATACGCGTTTTGACCCAAACATCATCTCATGATGAAATAGACTATTTATATCCATTAAAGTTAATTCAGTTCCACCATCCTAGTACTTTCAAATGATTTTTTCTCTCTTTAAACATTTTTTGCCTTTCGCAATGTAGCACAAGTACCATTGAGAATTGATGAAACTAGCAATAAAATACCAACTGCAAATGCAAAATTAAAGCCAATTATGATTCTCCTGAGAGTGGAATCGGTGTCGATGGCAGAAGCACTTTTTTAATGACACACTTGATTTAATGACATTTTTCAGAAGGGGATTTGCATCATTCTTTGAGATTAGTGCTTTTCAGATTAACCGTCTAATAAGAGTACATTTTGATAGTTGCATATTTTTTTTCAATTTATTCCCTTTTTAGGTGCTCTGTTAGGGGGAGATTTGGGGAACTCAAATGGAGCATGTCCAAGTCCAGTCCGTAAGTAAATCTTTTTCTTTCTCATGCTTCTCATGTTTGAGAATAAGCCTTTTCTGAAACACACACGCACACACACACACACCCACCCATACACACACACACACACACACACACACAGACACACACACACACACACACACATGAATTTTACAGTGTAAGGTCCACCCTACTCCTCTCTCCCATGAGTATTTCAGCTGCATTTATTACTTGTTTTATTTCATTTTTATCTTCTTTAGCAGACCCCTGGACAGAGCAGTACAGAAAATGTAGTCGAAGTAACAGGCTCACGGTCACACACTTATCCACAAGCAGGAAAAGACATGTTGACTGGCGACAGCTGAGGGTCACAGGACAAGCTGCTTGTAAACAGGGGCAGAGGTTTCAGGCTGTGTGAGATAAACTCAATCGAGAGTTCAAAAAGAGGAAAAGAAACCAACAAAATGAGTGAGAAAATAGGAGGAATCTCCTGAGCTGGATTTATGCTGCTGCTGTTTCAAGAATTGTGACTCAAAAACTGCAGACTACCCAGTTTAGGAGTTTTGAAATTCATTTCTGGAATCAGTTTTGTCAGCGGTCAAAAGTCACTTCAAGGCTGGCTCTGATTCATGAAAACTATAACAATATAGGCATCAAAATGTCAACATACTACAGTATTTTGTTAATGTTCATCCATCAAAGCTGCACTTTTCCTTAAAAAAAATTACCTTTGAATTATAGAAAATAAACAAATTAACAGTTAGTTTTTAACCCACTTCTTAAACTAACGATTTTGTTTTGTGTCGTTAATTTATTCTAGGTCCTGTTCAGTCCTGTTTCGAAAAGGTCATTCAGCTTTGTTTAATTCTAAGCAGCTATTATGGAGTGGAACATTGAAGATTTGTTTCTTGTAAATATAGCAGAAGTACCACTGAAAATGGATGAAACTGACACAGGAAATAATAGAATGCAGAAATGAAACTGAAGAAATGAAAAGTTTTTGGGTGTGTTGTGGTTTTACATCAGCTCACGAAGTTTCTATTTCGTAAGCGAAGTTGCATTAATCTGCCAGCTGACTATGCAATAAGGGTCCCATTTTAAAATATTTCCACATTAAGTGTGACTCTTACTGGTTTCTTCTAACTATTCTAAAACTGCACTGAATCATGCAAAAGAAAAGACTCTTCATGAAAAAATGGAACAAAATGAGTTATGTTCATACAGCCTCTGGATCCATAAGCATATTGATGTTAAAACAGTGACTATGTGCTGCTCAGTTGGCAGTGAAAAGACATTTTGAGCGAAAAACCAGCTGAGGTTTTTGAACTCTCCAAACCGGATGCGCAAACAGATCTGAAATCATCTCCAGTGATATGGTAAAACGGAATTTCTGTGAAACATGAACTCTGTCATGTTGAATGTTTACCTTTACGCTGGCACTCAATTTAAACCCCTTCCATCCTTTGATCGGTTTCCTCACTTCCTATTGGCTCCTCCTCTGCCCTCATCCCTCTATCTGCGCTCCCCCCTGCCGTCCTCTCTCTCTCTCTCTCTCTCAGCTGTTACCCCTCGTCTTCTATCTGGACTAACCAGCAGTCCTGCCCCTCCTCCACACCCCACCATCCAACTATCCCCTGTCTTGGCACAGGACTCTCCTCAGAGGTGACTTTGACACTGACCAGAGCTCTCCCCTCAAATCCCATTAGGCAGGATAGATACTGCCAGCATGCCCATGGTAATAGATATGGTGGGAAGGCTTTGTTTTTTTTCTCTTCCCATATTCAATTGATAAACATATTGTTATACGGTAAGGTGAGCCAAAATGAATCAATACATCTATATTGACTTCCCTGTAGTCTATGAAATGACTCCCCGAAGCCAAGTTTCAATACTGATACAATTATTTCAAGACCAGCCATGAACAAGTATTTATTTCCTATAAAGGCATATTCTGAAAAGTAAGCTTCATTCTGTATTGTTTAAAGTCATGTGTTGTTGTTTTGACCTTCATATAGATTCTAATGTTTTGTCATGAATAGGAATGCTGGTCTGGTTTTGGGAATGATAATAAACAATTAGAGTTTATGAACTGGTCTCGGAGTAGATTTCTGTGATCACTGAGTTGTTTTTGTCCCGGTTCGATGTTGTTGGTTGGTAGTAACTGCTTAGGGTTTTGGTGTTTCAGGGTGTTGTAGCCTTGAGTCTAGTCTTTACCAGCATGATTTTTCCCGCTCTCCTTAACTCAATCATGACATATTAGAATGTCCAAATATAAAACCTGACTGGTCAACCCTTGAATTAGCTCAGGCTCTCCCCTCTCCTAGTTTTCCGACTAATTTATTCCCGTCTCCCCTTCCCTCTTCTCCATCTGTCCAGTTCTCGCCCTCTTGTTAGCTCCGTCTTTTCTCCCATCTTCTCTCCCCCTCTTCTCCTTTCTTTTCCTCTTTTTATCCCCTTCTCTCCTCCTCTCTTGGATCTGTCGGTCTCAGCTGTTGTCCAGGGAGTAAGGGCTCCGGGAATGTCACCATTGACGTCACACGGCATTCCACACATTCCCACGCCCAGCCACGCGTAATAGGAGACATCACACACAAACTCACACACTGAGGGTACTAACACATATACACTCATACGCCGAGAGGAGCACATGCTCACGATACAAGAAAATACCTCCAAACAAGCCATTTACTTAAATTAAACCACAGATATTTGAAAGTGTTTCTCTGAAATACTCAGTGTGTGTTAACAGACCCACACACTTAATCATAGTTGACTGGATGTAAACCTCAGTTAAGAATTTTAAACTAGTCAGAATAATGACAGATTGAGCTTTTTTGCCCCCTTTTCACAATCCCTAGTTATTTTAGACATTTTCATCCCAGCAGTTTTACTTTGGGAGGAATTCTAAGAGGCCGATTGGAAATGTGGGTCAGGAGAAGTGCGTGACATGCAACACAGGTCAGAGGCTCACTTGAAACCAGGGACGCCGCAGCACTGCGGCATGTGCTGTTACCATGTGGGAACCAAAGACACCGCGTGTGCCATCTGTCAGAGCAGATATTTCTCGTTTATGCTCCATTCGACTTAGGCTTTTCTGTCCCCATGTCAGAACAGTGGGAGTGAGTTGGATCCTGATGGTGGGCTGACAGCCCTGAGGCCGTCAGGTGAGCAGTTAGGTGTGTGAGATGTATCACATCTAAGCTTTGGTGTGTAGGACACACAGGGGGCGCTTGCAGAATGCTCCATTCACTGGTCACACCTGCTGCACACGCGCAACGAGCAAAACAAACACACAACCTTTTTAGCCCTCAGTTTGATTTCGGTAAGTGACTGTGAAAGAAACTCAACCTTATCGCAGCCGTAGTCTGTTGGTTAAATAAATTAAGTCAGCACTCTTTCTTTAAGCATCATGATCCAGAGCTTTAACATAAGCCCAAATCCGGCATCACAGAGGGATAACGGAGAGTGGACAATGCCAGCTGTGGGCACTTCACTGCTGCTGAAACATCGCTGAATCGTCTAATATGTTCTGGCGAATGGTGGATTCTCCTGAACTGATCCAGACTGTGAACTACCAAAGCAGTTTTGCGTAGCACACAGTCCTGGTCAGTCAAACTAAACCATCCAAATGGCCCCCAAAGAAAGGTTAAAAAAACAGACGATTTTTACTCTTTTGTTTGGAGAACAGGCATCACTGGTGTGTAATCAAAATATGTTTGCTTTTCCTTTGTTCCTCTCTCCAACTGCGTCTCTAACCTGATGTTTTTTTACAAGCATTCTTGGATCGGTTATAATCAAATTTTCCTCCACTCAACCTCAGCAGATGCAGTCATGCCTTTATCCTCATTGCTAAGACGATGCCAAGAATTTGCGATTATTGCAAATTTCTTGCATGTATTTGAGTAGAAGATGCAGCCGTCACCAGGTTTAGGCCCCAGCTGAGATCTGTCTAGCTCAGTTACTCGCTGCACCATCAGAAAATTAAAATTTCTCAACACGGTCTGTGGTCTAATAGAAATTCTTAAGTGCGAAACACAAAAATGCTTTAACAATGAGCAGCTGTGATTTCAAGCTAAACACAAAACATAGTTTGGAGAGTAAAGTGTAGCACATGTACAACGATGCCTGCAGGCAGATTGATTTTTGTCTGAGGGTACCTGTAAAACATATGTTTGTGTATGTGTGTGCGTGTGCGTGTGTGCAGATGACAGTTTAGCTCACCACAAAGCCATCACCCCTCTTCCTTTACCCACAAACACGAACACAATGCAGGCACTAACAGATTCCCATCACTCGGTGACGCACACACGTGTTCCGTTCACAAACACGCAGGGGGACGCAGAATTTCCCAGCAGGGTACGATAAAAGGAGAGTCCGCTGTGCGTCAACGGGACACAGGTGATCCTATTGGTCACATGTCTGCTGGAAGGCAGATTCCTCCTATCCTTCTCTCTCCCACTGACACCTCCTGATAGCTTGTCAGCCTAAAATGTTGTTCTCTTCTTCTTTGATATCGTTTCTGTCCTTTTGTCTCTTAAATGTGTGCCTCCCCCTTTTTTCTACCACCTGACACCATCCTCAAATGACACCATTTGACTTTATTCATCTGTATTCTTTCCTCATTTGCATTAGTCTTTAATGATTTAAGGCCAAACTACTGACCTGGTGTCCTGAGATTTTTTACAAACCATCTCGATCCTTTCTTATCAGTGGGATCATGTTTGTACAAAAACTCTCAAGTTTTCCAAAACAGTTCTAAGCTGCCTGAACCGCTCATGAGTTAGACTCTGTGCACACAAAATGTTTGATCAACTTTTGAAGGAACTAGCAGGTCAGTTGAACATAGTTGTTTAAAGTGCTTAAAGATATCACTGCATCCGTAGACCTTTTTCTTTTTCTTACTCCCCCTTCCACTCACCCCTCCTCCCTGTATCCCCCTTTCTGTCCGGTTCCCCTCCCATTAAGCTGATAACAGAGAACAAGTGTTCTTGTTGTTGTTGTCAAGTTATGTTTGTGGGATGTGCGTGTGTGTGTGTGTCTGTGTGTGAGACTGAGATGAAACAGAATCACATGCCACTGTCATCTGGAGGCAGCGTCATGGAGAACTGCTATCTGCTATCACACACACACCCTCTTTCCTCACGTCCAAGGGGAATACTGTATCTGCTTTTGTGTGTGTGTGCGTGCTGGGAAAGTCCCTGCCTTGGTCCCCCCCTCCCAAAGACCGACCACCCCCCTCACCCCGCCCCATTTTAAACACTCTGTGATTGAGTCTGTTTAAATGCACTTGTCTTTTAGCCTCAGCAGCACAGACAGGCTGCTGTCTGCTGGAGTCTTGTTGTCATCACACCCCGACACCCCCTCCTCATTCCTCATAACTTATTTTCTAGTGGCCACATGAAAACACAGCAGTAAGTATGCAGTTATTCACACAGCGGCTCCAAATGTACTTTTAAACGCGAGAAAACACAATAAAATCTTTTAAAAACTGAAGTTTTGTGCAGCTTGAATGCTCAGTTATAGCCAGTTATCGCAGTTCCTGACGGTGGCTGTTGTGTTGCTGTGTAAAGGACTGGAATATGACAGTTGTTCAGCTTCAAAGAAGGGTGTGTACAGTTGTGCGTCATGTTGCTGGAATGTCTCTGTCATACATATTTATATGTTATAAAAAATTATGGCAGTTTGATGAAGAGAACCATCCGGTTTGATTTGTAAAACACTTTCATTTGCACCAAGGTGTTCAATAAATGAAGACGATGTCCACAGACCGTCTTTGTGGAGACAATGCTAAACTGAGGGACGTGCTCCTTCAGAGGCACACTGTTTTGTTTTTTTATTCAACCGCATTTGTTTGAGCTGTTCAGCAGCATTTGCCTCAATTGTAATATTTCATATTTTTTTTATTGCTAACAAATATGTGTACAAAAAAACTATTTCTATTTAAAATTAAGTAGTAGTGCAGGTAGCAATTCCAACTCTCAAATCCAATTTTAAATGTATTTCATAAAGATTGAAAATGATATTTCTTATGGAAAGTAGCATTTCGAATCCAGTTATGATTATAGAAGGCCGAAAGCTACTCATTTGTCATGTGCAAATTTATAGAAACACCTTTGTCTTTCAGACGTTTATCAGGCAGAATTCTCAACAAAATCATATCTCAGACTGATAATGACAAGTTTCTGAAAGTGTAATTATACAGATAGTTATGAAGTTCAGTTATGTAAATAAGTATTCAGGTACTGGAAGCACAGTGCATGTAATTAGACTGCATTAGCGGCGTTATCACTGACGCAGGAAATACAACTAACAATGAATCACGAACATTTGAGCTCCAGTGATTGTTGAATGTAATGTATTGGAAACACAGTGCAGTAATTACCCTGGATCAGAGGGATTTCTCTATGTTTGATAGAAAACAGCTAATCCAGAGCTCTGACTGTGAAACTGACTTTAGAAGGAAGACATTTCTTACAGACAGAGATGGAAAGAGCCAAAAGATATTTGTGTGTTTTTGTTTACGCACAGTCGAGACGAGTGAAACAAAAGAGACGTAGAGAGGAAGCGAGAGCAGAAACAACATATTCTGGAGAGAGCGTGACACGGTTTTGATGTGAAAGAGCTGCGGAGAATCCGAGCAGCGCCAATTTACCCCCTTTTTTTTTTGGTCTGAGCCGCAGAAATGATGAGGAACATGTGGTGCGGCGAAGCCATCCAACCCACTAATGAGAACACAAATAAACACAATAACAATAGCAGACAAGTGCAGGCAGTTCACAGGTAGAAACAGAGCAGACCCAGACCCCTCCTCCCACCTTTCCTTTTCACTAAAACCTCTCTCTCCTTACATGTGTGTCCCCTAGCTAATGGCTACATCAGTGCCAGGGCCTCCCCGGGCCTCCTCTCTGTATCCAACGGCAACGGCCTGGGGAAAGGGGCTCCGGCGAAGTCCCCACCTCCACCCAGCCCTCAGATGGTCAACAGCCGCAAGCCGGACCTGAGGGTCATCACTTCACAGAGTGGCAAAAGCCTCATGCAGCTGGTGAGAAGGCGACTAAGTGGGAACACCTCTTAAGTTTGACTCAAAGTTGGTCATTGCCAGACACAATTAGATGGTGTCTGGCACATTGCCTTGGTAACATGGGTTTTAAAGGCAGTGCTTTAATGTGTTCTGAAAGGTCCTCTGTAGTTTTTTATTTTTTTGTTCTTTTTTAACCAGTGTTAAAAACCTTACTTTCTCCCTCTTCTTGTTACTGTGTATGGCAGTGAACATCCACACAGAAGATCTCATGCAAGAGACACAAGATATATTATGATATAATGAACTCACAGCTAAAGTGTTTGTCACATGTCTAAGGAAATAGACCCAACAGACAGTTGGGTCTAACTGAATATGTTAAGTAAACAGATATGTGCTTTAGAATCCAGCTTTATTTTAGAATGGTTCATCTTTATAGTGAATTTCTGCGGGGGGCACGTCATTTACAGCCAAAGTAAAATTACAACTCTCTGAAGTCCTTTTATGCAACACTTCTATGTGTTTAGCACGGGCAGGATTTCCGTGTTTTAAAAGATCAAGAAATCACAGAAAAGAATACAGAGAGGTTCTAGCACGGCTTCTCTTTGTTTGAAGTCAATTTATGTGCTTTTCACATTTCCCCTTGACAGCAAGTTTTTTCATTTGATTGCCTCAAACTTCAATGGCTTGTGCAACACTGAAATTCACATGACACATCTATCACCATGTAAAATCTCTGTATGTTTGGACAAACATAAGGCTTACTCCTTGGGATGCCTGAACACATTTCATAGCTTTCTGCTGTGTCTTCCGACATGCTGACTGTCCAAGATAGCCTAAAACACAGGGGCTCTGTTTTGAACAACACACATGTAAAAGCATTATTAGTTTTCTTAGCCGTGTTAAGAGAAACTTAACAGCCCTCTGTCTTTTACCCCTTCCCCCTTCTTCCACCGGCCGTGCAGACAGAGGAAGAGCTGGAGTTGGTGAGTGAGGTGAATAGACTTTCAGAGTTTCAGGATCATGGATGTGGTGTCAAACTCTGTGTGGTCTCACTGAGCATGAGGATGACACCAACAGTGAATGCGTCACATCAGCGTCAACTCAGCTATGATGAGAAATGAAGTGCAGCCACAGGAGCATCAGAGCAACGCACAAACGGTGGAAAATCAGCTGGTTGCCTCTTTTCCTGTGAGGATGTTGAGTCTAGGAGTCAGGCTAATTCCTACCAGGGTTATGGTCCCAGTTTAGTTGTGGGCTTTGGGTCAAGCTGTTTAAAATGCACATTTGAAATCAACTTGGCTTGACTTTTTTTTCTCTTTTGACTCCAAAAAGACCAGACAAGTCCAAGAAATACTCAAAATAATAGTTATAATTTTGTACTAGTGGAAGAAAAAAACGTGCACCCACACACTTGTTTTTAAAAGAGATTTTAAAATGAGTCTTTAGTCTCCACTTGAAGAAAAGTTTTACTTTAAAAAGGTGCTTTCATTGCGTCCTTGCAGACTGAGATTAGAAGATGGTTCCCATTCTAGTCAGTGGCTTCCTAATATTTTGTACCAAGATGTAAGTTAGAGCTACTATACAAACATAGCATAAATGAATGTGAGAACAGCTCACATGACTATGTGCAGAGCTTAAAGACTTCCTCTTTACTCCTTTACAGCTTGCTGATAATGTATCAAGGCTAACTGATTTTTTTACTCAAATAGAAATCAAACCATCCTTCTACTTATTCTTATTCTTCTATTTGGTCTCTTGGCAAACTTAGAGTCAAATTATTGGGCTGATAGAATTTGAACTACATTGTTGTATATTCAATTAACTGTCACAGTTATGAAAAAATAAGCTTTTTACTACACTCAATTACTTCGGATGGCTGTCAACTCTCAGACCAGTTAAAATAAATAAAAATAGCTGTGAGCTCCTATGTAGTTTGTACATAAGATTAATGTCACCAAAGAATGAATTTGCCATTTAGCCACAACCTTATTTAGAGGTTTTTAGAAATAAAAGTAATCATGTTTAGTCAGCAGAGGTCCCGACATGTTTGTGAACGATCTCTCTTATTGAAAGGAACTTTATGGGTGCTTTGTGTAGAACACAATTAAAACTGAAATTGCCTGCAAACAATTTGAGAAGAGGGTAATTTGTTTCCAATTAGCCCAGCCAGTCTGACCAAGCTAAACTATCAGTGTGAAAATAAATAGACTAGTCCACCAATGACATCAAAATAACTGCCACGAATCAGAACAATTAGCTCTTGTTCACTGTATCAATCTCATAACTGGTCTACTTAAAGTGACATGTTAATCAAACCAGTCATTCTCTGGGGCATTCCTGACTTTTAAGCCTAATTTCTTCTTAATTGCATACATATATGTATGTATGTGTGTGTATGTGTATATGTAGACACACAAATGGTTCATCATTTTAAAATTATACTACTCAGAAGTCCCCAAAATGTTCATGATACAGTAGAGCTAAGCCTAAAGTGACATTTATGCAACACAAATAGACCATAGAGATGAAAAATTGAGGGAACTGGAGCAACCAGCTGACACTCTGCTGTGTGTGAAAGCTGCTCAGCATGTGCATGTTTGGTTTCATCTGAGTGTTAATGCTCCGAGGATCAGAGAGAGGAAAGCTCACAAAGTCTCCAACCTGGAACACAGATGGGCATGTTAGTCTGAGATACGCTGACCCCTTCAGTCCTCCACGCACAAACGCATGCACATTTCTCTGCATAAATATACACACACCTCAGAACAAATACACACCTCGCATTGTGTTTTCATTCCTGGTGTACTTGTCTGCTCGCATTCCTTTTTTTTTTTCTTTTCTTTTCTTTTTTAAAATAAAGACACATTCTCGCACACACAGGCTCACTCGGCCCTCCTCTGTCAGCCTGGCCAGTGCATGTGTTTCTGTCAGCATGATTCTCCAGCACGGCGCTGCCTCGCATAGCACCTTCCACCGTGACTCTACACAACGCAAAGCGCCAGGCCCTGGCTACGGCGTTGCCGTGCCAACGGCACCTTGAGATGCGAGAAATTTCTCATCTCGCACACTGATGTTAAAGTGTCACAGTAAAGTTAAACACCTCAGAGAGAAGTGGGGTGGCTGCGTTTTTTTTTTTTTTTTTTTTTTTTTTTTTTTTTTCTTTCTAGGGAGTGAGATGCGTCTGTGTGGCACGATGCATAAAACATCACGTTGCTGCCCTGCACAAGAATACTTAGTTAGGGTTGTTTTGTAATATTTTCCTTTGGTCGAATGGAAAAAGAAAAAGCTTTTACAGTGACAAGAAAACCGTGGGTTTAAGATTAAGCAGGGTTCCTGCGATTATGCTTAGCGGAGCGCGGTCCGCTGTATTTGTTTTGATATTTCAGCTACAAGTACAATAAGCTGTGTTTATGGGGAAATATTTCAGCAGTAGGTGTTCATGGTCACATTGCAGCGTCTCTGCATCCACTCTGCTGCACAGTGGAAGGCACATGCTAGCCATTATCATTATTACTGTTGAAAATGGATGAAGTCATGAGCCCTGAACTTCTACTCTCAGTCCATATAAGGAGAGAAAGCCCTGATTTGTTGTGGAACCAGACCAGGTTCTCCCATGACATGGAGTCACAGCGCTGCATCTGCGGGTTCAAGAAAGAAAGAGTTTGGTTGTAAATGTCAGAGTGTGGAAGATTGAACAAGTTTCAGATCCTTTGCATGTTACAGAGTCTCTCACCTCTCTGAATTACATCAGTGCCAGATTGCCACAGGACATAATATTTTTGCATGAATTAACTCACTGCACGGTAAAGAGATGCTGAGAATTGCACTTAAAATCAATTTTATGCTTCTTTTATGTTTTCAGTTCTTATGAAAGCCAACCGTTAATTTAGTTGCTGCCAAACTACTGATCTCATTATAGAGCCACGGTAGCAGTAAGAACTTCTTCCACTCTCAATTACCCGGTGTTCATCGTCCTCCGTCTGTCTCCCTGTCTTCCCAGAATGCTCAGCGGCTAGGAGGCTCGCAGGTGGCACAGTCACTCACCACCCCTGTGGTCTCCGTGGCAACCCCCAGTCTCCTTGCACCCTTCTCCAGCATGCAGACAGCCTACAACACTGGTAAGACACGGAGAAGAGCACCGTCACCTTAAACGAAATCTGTCTGCTTACCTCAGCGCAGAATAAACAGCTCTGCCACCAGCACAGGAGATCAAAATAATAAGGAGCACTGTTTTTTTTTCTGTAATGGAAAAAATTGGGTGTTATGTGGAAAAAAGTTGAAAACCTTGCAGTGTGATGCCACAAACCACCATGAATATTCACTTTGTTCATTGTGTGAGGACTTCTGGAATGATTCCACTTCAAAGGTCTCCATTAATATGGATTAGCAGTGATTAATATTGATGCACCAGAAAGTTGCATGATGTAAAACAATCCCCCTCACACCCCCCCCCCCCCCCCCCCCCCCTTCTCTCTCTTTCTCCCCCGCCATCCCTTAATCCCAGAGTACCAGCTGACGAGTGCAGATCTCACAGCGCTCCAGACGTTCACACCACCAGGGCTGGTGCCTGGCAACATGGCTGCCTGGCAACAGCAACCAGCAGTCTCCCAGCAACAACAACAACAGCAGCAGCAGCAACAGCAGTTGACTTTGGCGTCGCTCAGTAACTTGGTGTAAGCTCCCCTTTTTCTCCACATGACAAACTTGTGAGACTGATTCACTAACTTCTGAGGCTTGACCTTTCCTGACCAGTCGACATTTTCCAGGAAGCACACACGCCAGCTGAATCAGTGCAACGTGAAAAACACATGGGCAGAAAGCACTTTAAGCAGCTCTCCTGTACAAAGCTGTAACATCAACTTAGCTACAGTTGATTCATCCCGGTGGTGACCTAGATACCCCCCCCCTGGCCCTGACTTCCAGTGCAGTCATTTAGCTCCCAGTAGTGAGGACAGGCTCTTAGCCGGGTTATCTGGCACACTAATACAGATTGGCTCTCAGAAAGAGCAAAAATGACTGAATTTTTGTTTTGTCAGCAAGTGATTAGATTGCTTTGCTAAAATCTTGTGTTTTACCTTAAATCAGGACTAACCCGGCCACAAAGCTTAACCCACTCACTCATATATCTTTTGAACATCACTGTTGAGGGCTCTTTTCCCCCACTTTCCCCCGTCACAGTACAAGGAAAACATGTTTCAGTGTACAAGCAAATGTTAATCTGTATAGTGTTAAAGGTATAGATGGGGTTTTTTAAGGCTTGTATGAAATATGTATGAGCGGTTTGTACCTCTCCTGAAATTGGCATCATCTGGAGATGCAGAAAGCTCTGATGTGGGAGCCAAGCTAACAGCCACTGAGAGCAGGTGCACGTTGAGCCTCAGAAACGTCAGAGCAGCTTTCTGCTATGAACCACTATGAAACTGTATCCGATGTTCCCACTGCCTGGCATATCCTGCCACTAATCGGCGCGCTGCCAGAGGTTTCAGATTTGTTTAATAGATTCCTTATAGTCATTGCATCTAATCAGAGTCTTATGGCTCATAGAAAATTCCCCCTAAAAGTGGTAGGTCATCCTTCCTGCTTTATTACTTATCAGCCTCCATCAGCCTGTTGGAAGTGGTGGCAAAGTAGTAACGTGTCATTCAGACTTCTGTACCACTGTCACAACATTGAAGTTTCAGCTGCTCTACATGAAAATGTCTTGCACTCATCAGCATCATCAGTCTGTGAGAACTGACCAGCACCTGCTGCTCTGACCACCGCCTACTGCGGGCAAGTTACCGGCAGCTCTACAGTATTTCATACAAGCCTTAAAAAAACACAAAGGACCCCCTTAAGGTCATGTGCATTAGTAACACTTGTACTCTCGTACATGATGGCTGTTTGTACAAAATCAAACTTCCTCCGAGTGGAATTCGGCCCTCATTAAAACACGTGTGCTTCAACTCCTGCTTCAAGTGAAAATGTCTGCCAAGAAAAAGGTCAACAGAAAGACTTTTATTAGTCAAAGCTGTCCCGTCTGGTGCTGGTACCGCACACGTTGGTGACGCTATGACAGTTTATAGTTAAAAGTTTTTGGCTTTTGTCAAAACATCAAAAAGTAAAACAGTTCTGATTTTTAAGCACAGTGCCAAGCTAACCGTTGCTTTTGTGTCACAGTTTTACTGGTAGATCTGAATCTCTGTGTGAGCAGTGTGCCTGTGCCTGGCTAACCTGTGGATGTGGGAGCAGCTTGTAACTGCTTCTTGTTTTTTTCCTCCCTTTTTCTCCACAGCATGTGGGGTGCAGAGAAACAGAATGCGGAGATGGTTAACTGCATCTCCAATTTTGCTGCTAACCTGAGGTGAATCACTTGATGACATCTAGTGCTATGCAGCTCTGCCTTCGTTGTTTATGTCAAGTTTTCCTACCCTTCACACACACTTGTGGTGTGGAACGACATGACAGTGTGCAACCAAAAGAAACCCAAATACGTTTCAGGAGAGACGCAAATACATCACAAACATGATATCCAAGCATCTTTTCTTGTCATTTGTATGTTGGATGTGCTGCCTTTTGCTTTGCTGTGTCTGTGCTCTCTCTGTTCTGTTGATGGAAAAGTGCGTTCTATCCCCTTTGAGATTATTGGATAACCAGTTTAGTTCCAAGAGTTGTTTCTGCCACCTAAAGCGTAGATCTAAAGCTCTTTGAATGTGTGGGTAAGAAAGAAGCGTGACAGCAGCAACACCTAGCTTGGCTCTCAAATGAAAGGAGCCTTTGGGTGGTGCTGCAGTCCTCAACACGAAACCAGCGCACAGCTGTGCTCCACTGACAGGCCTAGCGCATTAAAAATTTACCTTTACGCCATTTAGCTGTCACTTCCAGCTGAAAGACATAAGATCCAGCTCGTCAGGTGCTCGCCCGGAAGAATCAGCTGTAGCTTCGCTGTCAGAGTCAGTTCAGGAAATGGAGAGCATTTATGCATTCGCTGTGTGGGATTTGATGTCATTTTCTAATCACCCGAGTGTCTGTAACAGCCTTTGGTATGAGCTCTTTTTTAGGGGACTCACGGAAAAGCGTTTTACTTTAAAAGCTCTTTTTTTCCGCAGAAAGATCACAGTCACCGAAGCGTGGCATAGTCCTGTTCATTTTTTAGAAATGGCAGTTAATGTCGATCACAGTATAGGAGAAGTGTGTTTAAAAAGGAATAAGATGCAGTGCTGTTTGTCAGCAGAGAGACTTATTTGTTCCTCTGTCTGACAGGCTGAAAAACTGCCTCTGAAAATATGATAATTGGTTGTTTGTTATTGTATACAACAGCTGTGTCTTCAGGGGGTTGAACATCTTTGAAAAGGCAGCATATAGTTAACAGTCACCACCAGCTCATCCACAGCAGAACTCCTCATATCGCCTGGTAAATGTTAACAAATGGCAGTCCAGATTGTATGAGATCCTTTTGCAACCAGAACAGTTGAACCTCTCAGATTGCAAAAGAAGACAGCCAGCATTCCTTTCCCTGAGTGTTTGCTGTAATAGTCCAACAAATGAGCCAACATCCACAATGGTGGCAATATTAGATATTTTTCATATCAGGTTTTTATGGCATCCACAGACGACTTAAAAAATGTAAGTTAGACATTTTCAGAGCCAGACGTTCACAGAAAGCTGCTGGAATTATTTAATATTTTATTCATATTGCATGCTACTCTTCTCTTTAATTAACTAAGTTCACGAACGAGCACAATATAGAAAAACACTGGGATATTATTCTCATGACTGTGTTAACAAGTAGAACTGAAACCTTCAACTGGTCATTTCAACTTTGGCCCTCAGGAACCACACCCCTGTAGGTTTTTAGAGGTTATTCTACTTTGTCAGATTATAATGAAAGTGCTCTCATCAATAGCTTTCGTTGTCCTTTAAACAAACCTGCTATAAACTCCTCACATTTTAGTGTGAGCGAACATTTGTAAAAAGGAATCAAACTGAAAACGGCGAGTGTAAGATCCTGACCTCTTAGAAGTGTTGAGTTAGCCCAGACGTTCTCAGGCAGGCTGAAAGCAGTCCCACTTTTACTGAATAAGCAGGGCGCATATTTGATGGGCGGCTGCCCAGATGCTGAACGTGGCAGCGTTTCAGCTCCTTTACCTTTTCACACGCGGCCCGTCAGCAGGCCGGTTTGCCGCCTGGCGCGGAGGATCAGAATAACAGAACCCCTTGTCACTAAAAACAAAAGGAGCGCCACAGAAATGTGGGAAGCCTTCCCAGCGCGCCAAACTGTTCTCAGGGCGCCGTCCGAGGGCGGCGCGGGCCAGACGTGGGCACTGCCGCGGCCCAGACTGCTCGGGTTTGTTTGGATTCCATCACGGCGCGGCCCTACAGCGAGCAAACAAGCCCCTCCAATCAGCCGCTGATTGACGGCTTGGCTGCGAGCCTCGCCGATGCTGTCGTCTGCACTTTTCCTCGCCGCAGGCTCCTCTAGGAAATTATTTCTGTCATCTCACGCTCTCGCATCTCCCCCCCACCCCCACCACCACCCCTCCCCCTTTTAATCATCCTTCTTCCACTACTTCCGTCTTTCCGCTTATTTCCTGCTCCCTTTGTCAAGCTCAGTTAATTTGCGCTACACCTGTTGACTCTCATCTTCCCCCCCCGACTCCCCAATCTAAATGTTAATGGCACAACTGGCCCCTCCACATCCCCCCCGCAGAGCCGCACGCTCAGCCTGTTTGTGCGTTTGTGTGGAAGTACTCGCCGGATGCTGCAGATGTTCTCATTGTTTGTTTCCTCCGTGTGTTGATGTGTTATCAGCAGGCAGGGTCTGCGTTTGGGACGTTTGAGCAGGAAATAAACAGCACTAGTATTAGAGATGGTGTTTGTGAGGATTGCTTTGGCCACTTGATTCATCCGTGTAATGTGGAACATCGAGAGCGGACCAAATGTTTTTCTTTTGTCACTGACTAATATCTTGTAACCCTCTTCTAACATTGTTCTTGTTTTTAGCCAATAGGTTCGTATTTTGTCTCCATCTGTTTTTCCACCTCTATATCAGCCCCCCCAAAAAATAGATATTTTTTGTTTAAAGCACAAAAAAAACACATTAATAGACAGTGCTAAAATGCATACAGTATTTCACGGATCTCTGGCCAGAGTCTAATTCATTGTTCTGAACTGGCCATGAAAGGTCAAAGGTCAGGGCAAAGTTTTGCAAAATGAGTATTTCAACGAAAGCTTTAATTCACCCCAAAATTGACATTTTCTATATCAAGCTGCCAATTTCTCCTGTTTCAAGCAAAACAGGAGAAACAGAGTTAATTCTAAATAAAGCCTGTGTTGGTTATATTGTGTTAATGACAGCCAACACTGCAGCTTCCCACCAGCCGCACCATCATTTTTAGCCCAAAAGAAATCTGTAAATTGATTGAAACTGTGTGAATAACCATCAAATTTGTGTCAACACAAGCCTTCACACTTCCTGGTGTACGCAGCTCTGCCTCTAACAGCATCTCAGCGCGCCTGAGGCAGCTGTTGAGCCAGTTATTTCTCCTTATTGTAACTGACCACGACTGGCCTCCGTCTCAGTGTTTTCCTGCTGTTTCAGCTTTTTTAAACTTGCCTGTCTTCTTCTTTTGTCAGCCTGGCATCTCAGTCCAACTTGCTCTTTGGCAAAGAGGAGGGCCTCTGCTGGTACTGTACTCTTTACACTCAGCCATAGTACACCGCTTTCCCCAAATATTTGCTGCATAAAGGGTCCTCAAGAGAAGATTTGACAGGAAAATTGCAAAAGGAAGAAACGACAATCAATAATTGGATGAGGATAATCCACAGCTGTGGTGGTTATTTAGAAGACAGAGGAAATAGTTTTACTAAAGTAACTTGAGAGAATATAACAAAAGCAAAACACAGATTTTGGACTGGAGCAAAATTCTCAGTACTTATGTGTCTGAGAATGAGAGGGCCGGAGAAGTCGAACTCCTAAAGAAAACAAATCTTTGTCAGTACCAAACGTTGCCTGGCTAGTTTTATGTAGTTTGGCTAAAGGTTTGATGAACTCATTCATTTATGGTGGAGATGGAGAAACTAAAAGTGGGATAAAATGAGTTTTTACAAAGATATAAAAATGAATTGCTATTGAACTGAGCCATAGAATAATATTAATCACACTTTTGCTGGAAGTTGTTTGAGGGGCTCAGGCTTTGCGTCCTTTAGGTGCCGCCAATAGATATTAGTTAGATAGATGGAATAACCCTCTTTATTCACTTTTCTCACCTTAGCAAAAGCTACATTTTCCTTTTTAATGCACATATGTGGAATGGATCTTTGAGCGAGAACCTCAAGGGGACTTTCTGTGGCCCACATTAGTCTACTGACAGAAAAGATGGACCGGCTTCAGCCCACCAGAGGACAATTCGGTCTCTTCATGAGTTCTCCGGATGGCTTTCGTTATCGAAATCTTTGGGAACATCCGACAGCTCAAAGATGGAACGTGTTAACGAGAATCACCGGGTGCAGTTATGGTCAAACTTAAGATAAGACAACATTTAGCCTAGTTTGCATATACTGAGAGAGCGTTGACTTGGCAGAGAGGATTTCAGGAATCGCGTCCACATCTGCTCCCAGCCGTCTGCAGCTGGCTGTGATCCCTGCGTTGTTAGTGTTCGGGGGGGGGGGGGGGGGGGGGCCTGCCGCCCCCCCCTTCATCACTGTCGCAGGCCTGCTGACTCCGCGTTTTTTCTCGGCGCCACAGCAGCGGCACCCTCATACATCTACCTGCACCGGGCCCGGGCCGCCGAGCGCAGGGCTTGATGAAGTGGGGAAGAAACGGGCCGAGCTCAGCTGCCACCGACCTGTGTGTGTGTGACACTGTGTGTGTGTGTGTGTGTTTGTAAGCACAGGAGATAAGTAGCGTGTGTGTGTAAAGCAGCAAGAGTGCAAAAGTTTGAGTGTGTGTGTGCATGTGTCAGACAGAGGGAGACAGGGAGCACATTTCAGCGCCACCGATCGCCCGGAGGAGCGCTATCTTCAACTCCCCTCTCAGTCTGCCAGTAATTGAGCGAGTATTAGAGATCCCGCGCTGCAGATGGCTCACGATATGACATATTAGAACACACCCGAGGGGCCAAACGCAGTAATTGGGAGCTTCAAATTGTGATCTGCCGTGTCACGCTGGGGGGAGAGGAAGAGCTGGAACGAAACCCAACCCGAAAAATCGTGTCGACGCCGTCAAAAGGAGCCAGCCGGCCCGCCACAGTGCAGCGTCATCAGCCGGTGTCAGCCGCCGTGACAGGTTCGATTCAGCCTCCAGCCAGCGGGGGAGGTGAAGGCTGAGAGGGGGATCGAAGAGCCGTGGCAGGTTGAAGCGCAGGTGGTGACAGCCAAGAAAGCTTTTTGGCACGCCGTTTTTTTTTTGTCTTTTTTTTCCCATCCTGAGAGGCTTTGGAAAAGTTCTCTGAAAGGATTATTACAGAAGCTCAATCAAAAAAGAAACTCTAAACAAAACAGGAATGTGTCTCTCCTTCAGGCCAAAGTTCCAGATCCAAAACTCCTATCAGAGGTGGGGCTGTTAAGTGCTGGTCTTTAGGCAATCAGCACACAATAATGAGAACAATAGTGTTTCAACATGGACGTGGCAGAAGCAAAGCTTAAACGTATTCACTTATTTCTATATTAGGAGGCAGAACTAATTTCTGTGAACAATTTACGATTGATCAGTCTCCAGATTTCTAATAGAGGAGCCAGAAGAACTGGTGTCCGGAGGACGTAATGCACAGAACAAAACTGAAGTCGAACACTGATGCTCTTATGTAGCTGCACATGAAATCTGATATGCAACAATGTTTGGGCTGCATGGCTTTTGGATTGTGCTTTTGTGGCCTCAGACGTGGTCGTAGTCGTTCTGTGTGTCTTTGCTCTCCGTGTGCCGAGTCCACATCTGCCTGGTTGATCACATTGCCTGGGTGTCTGAGGTTTTGGTTGGATGTTTGTTTTGTTTTTTTCCACACACTGCAAAGCATTCATTCGACCAGACTTTGTGATTATTACAGTGATGGCCCGAAGTCTGTGCGAAGTCTAAAGAGAGTCCCTCACGGTTTCCTCTGCTCTCCTCTGTCTCTCCAGGCCGGTGGGTCCGATGTCCCAGGGCGCCGCGCTGACCGTCAACACCAACCCCAACGTCAACATCAAGTCCGAGCCCGTGTCCCCCAACCGCGACCGCAACACGCCCAGCTCCATATGCGGCCTGGGAGGGGCCGGCGGAGGAGGGGGTCAGGTCCAGGTCCAGGGCCAGGGCCTGGTGTCGGTGGCCTACCCGGGCAGCCTGCGGCTGGAGGCGGGAGGTCAGGGCCGCTCGCCGGTGGACAGCCTCAGCAGCAACGGCAGCTCGTACGAGGGCAGCGACCGGGACGACGGGCGAGGCGGGGCGCCGGACTTCCACCACCACCAGGCCGGCCCCGGCGGTCAGCAGCCCACCATGCTGCTGCTGCGGCCCTCCTCGGCCGAGCCCCAAGAACAGGACGGGGCGAACGTCAAGAGGATGCGATTGGAACCCTGGGTCACATAAAGAGACGGCTGGAAAACGGAGCGACGGACAGATGGAGGATGGAGATATGTGCGTACATGCCCCCCTCTCACCTCTTGCATTCACACACACACACAAGATATAACCACCGTAAAAAAAAACACCCAGTCACCTACTGACCGCACGGCAAACACACTCATCTACGACACAAGCATGCGAACACACTCGGGACACGTGTGGACACTGATGCTCGCTTGAACGGCCGTCTGCGTTCGCGTTTAAGATTCCGACCTAACTCCGGCTCACACAACACACGAAGCCCCCGCTGGGTCCGGCCCCCCCCCGGGCCGGCGGGTCCCTCCTCAGAATAAGTATCAGGTCGGACTCGAACAGGAGCGATTTGGTCGCGATCAGGCCCAGAATTTCCCCCCCCCCCCCCCGGCGTGCTGACGTTGGCAAACCAGGCCTGGTTTCTGAGCATGCCTTGCTTTTGGTGTGCGTCCCTCACAGCTCGTAACTCCGCAGTAGGTTTCGATCAAACGGCGCCGTATGTTTGAAAGCGGCGCCGCCGAATGAGGTTTTGTACACACCGGCCCGTCCACAGTCGTATCGCTATCTCTCTCTAGATTCTGGTTGTTTTTTTTTCTCTCTCTCAGAGCCCGTGCGGTTTTGCTCTCTAAGGTGTAGAATTTTTGCCTTTCTGTGTTGACTGTTTGAGGGGTTTGGAGTCGTTTCGGTTTTGAATACGAAGACACTAAAAGAGGAAAAAAAAAAGTTGTTGCTGTTTTGTTTTTTTTTCCAGCCAATGCTTTGGCCCCGTGGAGGAGGAGGAGGGGTGGGGGGGACTCCAGGGCCGTCATTCAGACAGAAGCACGCTGTAAAACGAGGGATGTGATCTGTTGCTTTTCTTTGAATCAGGGACGAGCTGCCACAGCTCAAACGACACATCACACAAACACTCCTCCATTGGCCCATATCGTGTCGACGGCAGAGGCTGAGAAAGACGCCTGTGTTTGGTTTGCGTGTGCGTGTGCGTGTGTGTGTGTGTGTGTGTGTGTGTGTGTGTGTGTGCAGGTTTGTTACCTCAAGTAGTTGGGTGTGTTTTTTTTGTTTCGTTTGTTTTTTTGTTTTTTTTTCAAATACGTGATTTGGACAAATGTACACTCTATTTTAACCTTAAATACACACCTGCAATGCACACAGCTGAAATTATTTTTATGATGTTGGGGGTGGGGGGGTGGGGGGGGGATGCGGGTCGTGAGGTACCATGTATATAAGCAATCTGTAACCTTTGTGGCTTTTGTGTGATAAGGATAAGATGTGTTGAAGGTTTGAAAATAGGTCATGTAGGAGGATATATTTACAGGGCTTGGGGCAGTCCTGCATGTGGCCAGCAGGCGGCTAGAGACGACAGGGATTGTATATATATATAGAAACTATATTCGGCAGGATTTCCCTTAACAAAAACTAAAACAAAGAAGAAGAAAAAAAGCAAACGTTGATTCTCAGCGGATCGGCTTGCTTTTTTTTTTTTTTTTTTTTTTTTTCTTTTTAAATGTTATTTATGCGTGTACATAAAGTGCAATGTGTGGACGAGCCAAAAGAGGGCGCTGTCGATGCAGAAAGGGAAGCCACGGTGACGCTGACTGTTTGGGAGAGGGGAACGGTTTGATGGAGCGCACTTTACTCTAAACTCCCACTTCTGACACTTTCACACACCTGACCCACAGACACACACTCTGAACACACTCAGGAGGGTCAGACTGATGTCTGATAATCAGATTAAATCAATCCTGTTTTAGTTTAGTTTGATTACGTTTCTTTGTGGCTTTTTAAAAACCATTTTGTTGAGGAAAAAACTAAACACAACCAGCCACATGTCAAACATTTAGGAAAAAGTATCTTCATGATCATGAATATTTTTCATCTGTATCCTAAGCGTATTTATTAAGAGTAATTAGGTCAATGATTGTATGAAATTTGGTAAATTTAAGCTTTTTCCTCTTTTTTGTAGCACTAAATTATTATTTATTGAGAATTAGACAAAAAAAATGAAGATCATTATGTTTTATCGAGTTGAAGTTCAAATTTCTGTCCTCTTCTTTCACTTTTGGCTCCAGCGGTCTCCACTACAAACCACTCAAATTCAGCAGATCATTTGAGGAATCGTGAACCCTGTTTTAGGACTTTCTTACAGGATTACGACCAGAACTCCTCCTGAGTGTTTTTGTGGAATACAAAAGCATTCAGTCTTTAGAATTATTTAAAAAAACCATCAGTCAAACTCTAAACACACACAAACATACACACATATTGTAAAAGGTTGAGCGAGCCAAGGTTTTTTTTTGTCGTTTTTTTTTAGAAGTTTACCTTTATCTCTTATTAAAAGCCATGTATCTCTATTTAAGGTCTCTCCTCCTGTCACTGGTTGGCTGTACTTTTATATCAGGAGAGTAACAACAAAAAAAAAAAAGACTGTAATCAAAAAACAAATGTGAAAGATGTCATTTTTGTACTCTAAAGCGTAAAACGGTGATATTAGGGTTTGGTGGGTAGTTTTTTTTTTAAAACTATGGCGCTCAATTTTCCCCCCCCAAAAAAACTTGCTCTGCCTCCGTCCATTTTTCCCGCGCCGGTGGCAGAGTCAGCCGGAGGTTTCCGGAAGGATTCTTGATCTCGTGATAACTAGCTCCCGAATCCGACGCAGACCGGTCGACACCCCCGTCCGTCCGGCGCTTAGTACGCTCCGTCCAGAGAGCGGGAGCCAGAGCCCAGGTCAGATTAAGTTATCCTGGGCCCATTTCCGCCCCCCAGCTCATCAGGGATTCCTCATTTCCTCTATCTCTATCTCACTGGCACTCATCCTCACAGTGGCGAGCCTCAGAGTCGGTCTGAGCTTAGTCTCCACTGTTAGGACCTTTAGGCCCTAAGCCTCGAACAAAATTCAGAGAGAAACGAACATCACCCCCCCCCCCCCCTCTCCGGGCGAGAACGCAAGGCCTAGGTTTGTCCAAACCCAAACAAAGCGGCGTCCTTTTTCACAGGACTCAGGGAGCAGGAGGGGTGGGGGGGGGTTGCGGTTGTATTTGAGTGAGCATGATGAGATGATGGAGGTCCTGTGTAACCGCGGCTAGCTCTGGAGTGGGGAGTTGGGGGGGTGGGGGTGGTGGGGGGGTCGCTGTAATCCTAAAAACAGAGAGACAATCGTGTTGAGAAATGGCCCCGGCCCGGACAAAGCGCCACGCGCTCCTGTACAATGATGTTTAGAAGTCTCTCTCACTTTCCAGTGTTAATTTGTGCTGGTGACAGTCTGTTTTCATTGTTCTCTGAGAATCGATATTATTATTGCTATGATTATCATCATTACAGCCTCTACTGATGTCATGATGATATAGAAATCTACGTTTCTTTGTGTAGGTTAGACACTCTTGTTTTGTTTGTTTTTTTGTTTTTTTTTCTTTGGGGGGGGGGATTTGACTTTATTTTATCATATGAAAATATCCTATAAATATATTTTTGTTTTCTCTTCTTTCTTGGGGGTTTGTTTTTCTTTCAGAAAAAAACAGAAAAAGCTTTTTTGAAAAAAAAAAAAAATAGGGTGTTACTCATGTTGCACGATTTTTCTGATGTGAAACGACACAAGCGTGGTGATGTTAGTACACGTGTGGCCGTGGACGGAGGCGACAACTTTAAAGTCCAATGTACAAACGTGGAAACATGGGGACAAGGGGTGGGGGGGGTTGGGGGGGTGGGGGGGGGGCAGCGTGACACGTCTAACTTATTTCTGACCAGACACGATGCATGGCCGTCTTGAAACGAGAGAAGAGTGTTGTAGGAAAATCAGATGTAATATCCACACAGCTACACATCACACAGGATTACATTTAAGAAGAAAAAAAAAAAGCAGAAATTGAAGAAAAAGATTTAAGTAAATTATAGCTAATATATTGTGTTCAGCTAGTCAGCTTTTTTTTTTTGTTGTAAAGATCTTTTTTTTTTTTTTTTTTTTTTTTTTTTTTTTTTT